TCCGGCTCTTTTATTAAAACGTTCCCCTTTTTCAGGGCTACTACACAGGCAGGATGTATTTTTCTCAAATAAATATTACAGGTTTTCAGCTGCAAAAAAAAAAAAAAGCATAATGGTGTGCAAAGGGTTAAAACCATTAAATACAGAGAGCATTGTGCAATGAGTGTCAATGTAAGGCACAAAATTAGGATGCAAATCATAGCAGCCCATTAGAAAATGACATACCCTGCAGTGATGTGAACGGATTAAGGCATGGAGTTGGTAGCATCTGCACCAGCAGAAACAAACGAGTTCAAATATATAAATACATGATAAAAACGGTGTATGACTGCCCCCTACTGTTTGAATTGTGTAAAAATGCTTTAAATAATTTTACACCATGCCCTCTCTGTGACACATACACACACACTTACACACACATATGGCTTAAAAACACTACAACCAGTAGTCCACGCTTAAGACTCGACTCTCTGAGAGGACATATAAATAAGAGAGTCCTCCAAAGTACACCATGAAATCTAAATAACGTTACATATTAAATATTACTCATTAGTGCCGCAGTAGCTCGGTGGTCAGTGCTGCGGTCATGTAATCCTGATGTCGATGGTTCAAGCCCAGGTTGCATGATGTTTGCTCGCTGTGGCGATGCCTGCAGAAGGGAGCAGCCGAAAGACAAACAACAATACATACTGCTGATTCTAACAAGGTTGAGTCAGGTCCTCTGGACAGATTCTTCTTGTTGAATGAAATGTTTCGTCTTTTATCCAGAAGACTTCTTCAGTCTGAGGAGCTGCAACAAACTCGGTCTTATCAATAACACCTTCTCGTAGTGTCCAGAGGACCTGACTTGACCTTGTTAGATTTATCTACCTGGATTATTGAGCATGCATCAGGAGATATTGCTGATTGTTTGTCTGTACTTCCTGAACTCTCATGGTCTTTAAATCAGACTCTGTTCTGGTCTTGTGGAGTTGGGGGGTGAAACCTCCACCCCAGCCTCATGCTGCAGAGGAGTGAGGCGAGGGAAAAAGGTGTGCTTGAGGTCGTAGTTGAGCAAGCAGCTGATGGAAGCCATGTAGATGTCAGCGAAGCGGGAGAGTCGACGGGAGAAGTAGGTGGGGTTGTGATATGTGCGAAAGAGGCTCCCAAACTGTGGGTTGAAGATCTTCTTTGACTGCGGCCTACCATGAAAACACATGAAAATATTTATATTCACAAAAGCTAAAAAAAAAAAAAAAAAAACTCCACAAAATGTTTTTCAGAGCCAAATAGGATTATGGTCATTACTTCATGGCTTCTCGTTCTCTGCTCCACTCCTCAACTACAGCTCGAGTTGCAGGATCACTGTGCACCTGTTTCAATGCAACACAGTGAAGTTAAGCACAACGACGTTGGGATCAAAAGAAGGAAAATATAACAACGCTTAGTAAGAAGATTAAGCCAGATGTTGGATATCGTCTTCTGACCTGCATCTGTTCGATAAGTCCAGTTAGTGACTGTAACCACGTCATCATGTGCACGTACTGCGGCGTGTTCATGATCTTGATCTCCTTCCTCAGCTCGGGGATGATGGCGCCCGTCCTCCAGCCATGTTTCAGAGTCAGATCCTAGTAGACAAAAAGGATCCACGTTAAATCAAAAGGACGTCGTGCAGTCTGGCTGTTCAATGAATATTTGCTCGTATCAAGGATCTGCACACGTGGAAAGAAGCAACAAGGAGTGATCAGGTTGGTTTCATAAAAACACAACACAGCTTAACTTAGGGTGTGATCTCCAACAGATACTCGAAGCACCAACAGCTTAAACATCTTGCGTCTCTCGGATGAGAGACGAAACGTTTCTACGTTTTTTTTGGCTTAGTTTTTTTTTTTTTTGTTGTTGTTGTTTTGTTTTCTTGTTTTTTGAATGTCCAGAGGAAAAGATTGAACTTTTTTTGTTTTTTTATACCTGGATTATTGAGCATGTATCAGGATACTTAAACATCTTGGTTTAAAACTGTGCCATCAACTATATTTTGAGACAACTCTGTTAACAAAATAACTCAAACTACTGAACAGATTTGAATGAAAAGTTCAGGAATCATTGCACATAAGACTGTGTATAATATTAATTGTAAAATGTGACCTAAGCATATACAATTCTGTAATTTCTCAAAATACGATGTTTAAAACACTGTATTCCTCCAAGGAATGCTAGGTTTTTTGTAAACTCGTGTGTTGACCCTTTTATTTTTGAGTTTTCTAAAAATATGTTTTTGCTTTAGCTGCTGCATTGCTTTCAGTTTTATTTATTTATTCATTAAAAAAAAAAAAATTACAGTGAAACACAGGAAAAAAATAGTTATGTGAACAAGAGTACAACATATAAAATACATAATACAAGATCCAAGATTTTTTTTAATGGAAAGTATACAGAAATTGCAAATATACAATGGAGGATTAGGGCCACGATAAGAAAAAATAAATACATTATGAGAAAAAAGTAATAAAATTACGAGAATAAAGTCATACTATTATGAGAATAAATTCATAAGAGAATAAAGTCATAGTATTACAAAAATAAAGTCGTAGTAATACGATAATAAAGTCGTAGAACAAACCAGATTCCAAAAAAGTTGGGACACTAAACAAATTGTGAATAAAAACTGAATGCAATGATGTGGAGGTGCCAACATCTAATATTTTATTCAGAATAGAACACAAATCACAGATCAAAAGTTTAATCTGAGTAAATGTAACATTTTAAAGGAAAAATATGTTGATTCAAAATTTCACAGTGTCAACAAATCCCAAGAAAGTTGGGACAAGTAGCAATAAGTGGCTGGAAAAAGGAAATTGAGCATATAAAAAACATCTGGAAGACCAATTAACACTAATTAGGTCAATTGACAACATGATTGGGTATAAAAAGATCTTCTCAGAGTGTCAGTGTCTCTCAGAAGCCAAGATGGTAAGAGGATCACCAATTCCACCATTGTTGCGCAGAAAGATAATACAGCAATACCAGAATGGTGTTACCCAGCGTAAAATAGCAAAGACTTTTAAGTTATCATCATCAACCGTGCATAACATCATCAAAAGTTTCAGAGAATCTGGAACAATCGCTGTGCGTAAGGGTCAAGGCCGTAAAACTCTACTGGATGCTAGTGATCTCCGGGCCCTTAAACGTCACTGCACCTCAAACAGGAATGCCACTGTCAAGGAAATAACAGAATGGGCTCAGGAATACTTCCAGAAAGCATTGTCAGTGAACACAATCCACAGTGCCATCCGCCGTTGCCAGCTGAAACTCTACAGTGCAAAGAGGAAGCCATTTCTAAGCAAGCTCCACAAGCTCAGACGTTTGCACTGGGCCAGGGGTCATTTAAACTTGAGTGTGGCAAAATGGAAGACTGTTCTGTGGTCAGATGAGTCACGATTTCAAGTTCTTTATGGAACACTGGGACGCCATGTCATCTGGACCAGAGAGGACAAGGATAGCCCAAGTTGTTATCAACGCTCCGTTCAGAAGCCTGCATCACTGATGGTATGGGGTTGCATGAGCGCTTGTGGCATGGGCAGCTTGCATGTCTGGAAAGGCACCATTAATGCAGAGAACTATGTTCAGGTTCTAGAACAACATATGCTCCCATCTAGACGTCATCTCTTTCAGGGAAGACCCTGCATTTTTCAACACGATAATGCCAGACCACATTCTGCAGCAATCACAACATCATGGCTACGTAGGAGAAGGATCCGGGTACTGAAATGGCCAGCCTGCAGTCAAGATCTTTCACCTATAGAGAACATTTGGCGCATCATAAAGAGGAAGGTGCAACAAAGAAGGCCCAAGACGATTGAACAGTTAGAGGCCTGTATTAGACATGAATGGGAGAGCATTCCTATTTCTAAACTTGAGAAACTGGTCTCTTCTGTCCCCAGACGTCTGTTGAGTGTTGTAAGAAGAAGGAGGGATGCCACACAGTGGTAAAAATGGACTTGTCCCAACTTTTTGGGGATTTGTTGACGCCATGAAATTTGGAAACAACAGATTTTTCCCTTAAAATGATACATTCTCTTAGTTTAAACTTTTGATCTGTGATTTGTGTTTTATTCTGAATAAAATATTAGATGTTGGCACCTCCACATCATTGCATTCAGTTTTTATTCACAATTTGTTTAGTGTCCCAACTTTTTTGGAATCCGGTTTGTAGATAACTTACCATTTCCAGTAATTCTCGGCAATGACCTACCAGTGCTTATCGACCTGTTACAGTCTCCTCAGTGTAATCCAAAAAAGTTCAATCTGGTCCTCTGGACATTCAAAAAAAACAATAAACAAAACAAAGCAAAAAAATGTAAAAACGTTTTGTCTCTCATCCGAAAGACTTCCTCAGTCTGAGGTGCTGTATTCAGCTCAGTCTCTTAAATAGCACCTTCTTAGAGTGGATCAACCAGTTTGCTGTTGACAACCAAAACCAGCTGCTCACATGCTCAAGAAGGACCATCAGCCTAACAATGGATCATTAGCACACTGATGGCTGTTTACTATTCACAGGGGGTTGAGTGATACTAGCAATCACAGCATTGTAAGAGGAGGACAGTTGAACCCGGAGGCCTCCGCCCCTGTTTAATGATTGACGATTTTTTTCTTCTTCACAAAGATGGCCTCCTTTACTCCTCTCTCAAACCATCGTTCCTCTCTGTCCAAGATGTGAACATCTTCATCCCTGAAAGAGTGACCGCTGGCCTGGAGATGAGTGTAGACCGCAGAGTCCTGGCCTGATGATGTTGATCTTCTGTGCTGGTCCATCCTTTTGGCCAGTGGCTGTTTAGTTTCCCCGATGTAAGACTGATCACAGCCCTCCTGACACTGAACAGCATACACAACATTACTCTGTTTGTGCCGGGGGACTGGATCTTTGGGATGAACCAGTTTTTGCCGTAATGTATTTTGGGGTTAAAAGCCACTGGGACGTTGTGTTTAGAAAATAAAGTAGAAATTGTTGTGCCAGAGTTTCAGTACAAAGGAACAAACGTAAGGAATTGCACGATATAAAATAAATAAATAAATAACAGAGAATATAAAACAAATAACAGATAATATTAAAATACCAACAAAGTTCTAAACAGGTGCAGACAAAAATATTAACGTGTTTATTGTGGTGCAGGATTAATTTTATTGTCCTAGGAGGCCAAGATTGTGTAGGCAGGGCTGCCGACTCGGGACCCGAAAGTCTCAGGTTCATACTGCAGGATCAATAAAGTTCTATCTTATCTTATCTTAAAAGTTTAAATAAGGAAAAACATGTGGAATTAGCTGAAAAAGCTAATTAAATTAGCCTAAAAACAGCTAAATAGTAGCTGAAATGGTAGAAAAAGCTGAAATTTGCTTTCAGTTACCAATCAGCAGTTAGACTGATTTGTAACTCTAAATTGTCCCTAGGTGTGAGTGAGAGAGTGAATAGTTGTTTGTCTCGTTTGTCTTTATAGAGCCCGAAAAGGCCCTGTGGATAAGGGGCTTATGTGTCCCTGTGATGGACTGGAGACCTGTCCAGGGTGTCCCCCACTTCTAACACAGTGACTGCTGGATATAGGCTCCAGTGACCCTTGCGACCCAAATAGAAATAAGTGGGTAAAGATAATGGATGGATGGAAGCTGAAATTTGCATAAATAAGCTGAAAGTAACTGAAATGAGTAGAAAGATGCCTAAATTACCAGAAGGAAGTGGAGAGAGCACATTTTTGCTGAATTAGTCTGAAAAAAGTTGAAAGGAGTGGAAAATGTGGAATTAGCTGAAAATGCTAAAAATTAGCATAAAACAGCTAAATACTAAATGAACTAGCAGAAAAAAACCTGAAACTTCCAGAAATAAGCTGAAAATAGCAGGGAGTAAGTAAACAGTAGTTTATCCACTGGTGTGGTGCCAAAATCCTATAAACATGCTGTTGTCCAGCCTCTCCTGAAAAAACCAAACCTTGACCCCTCAGTCGTTTCCAACTACCGGCTTGTCTCCAAACTCCCATTTGTTTCTAAAGTACTGGAGAAAATAGTCGAGTCCCAGTTGAAGTGCTTCCTGGAGGATCACGCCATCTTAGAGCTATTCCAATCTGGCTTTAAACCTCTTCACAGCACTGAAACTGCCCTGCTGAAGGTCTTTAACGACATCTTCAGATTCACAGATACCGGTGATTCTGTGCTGCTTGTCCTGTTGGACCTCACAGCCGCCTTTGACACCACTGACCATGAGATCCTCATTGCTAGGTTGGAGCAGTGGGTGGGCGTCACAGGATCAGCCCTCAATTGGTTCAGATCTTACCTCACTGACAGATCCTTTTGTGTCTCCATCAATGATTTTAGTTCCGCAGAGGCAGAGCTTAAATGGGGGGTTCTGCAGGGGTCCATCCTGGGTCCCCTCCTATTCTCTTTATACCTGCTGCTGCTTGGTGCTATTTTCCGGAAACACAACATGCCCTTCCATTTCTATGCCGATGACTGTCAAATTTACTTCCCCCTAAGACACAATGGTACATGCTCTATTCAACCGCTGCTCAACTGCCTGGCTGACATCAGGGACTGGATGGCTTTAAACTTCTTAAGTTTCAATGAAAAGAAGTCTGAAGTCATGTTGTTCCCTCCCAACAACACGATCACAAACCACTACATCGACCTCTCTGCTCTAACCCTGTCAGAAAAACAAAGAGTCACTAATCTGGGCGTGATCATGGACCCTTCCCTGAAGCTTAACAATCATGTAAACATGATTGTTAAATCATGCTTCTTCCAACTGAGGCGGCTGTCTAAACTGAAGCCCATATTGTCCAAAAATAACCTGGAGACAGTAATACATGCATTCATTACATCTAGGCTTGATTACTACAATTCGCTCCTGTTTGGTATCAGACAGACCTCCATTGCACGACTACAACTGGTCCAGAATGCCAGAATGCAGCAGCCCGATTTTTAACCAGTACAGGCAAAAGAGAGCACATTACACCAGTTTTGGCCTCACTGCACTGGTTACCGGTTCACTTTCAAATCCAGTTCAAAATACTCATGTATGTCTACAAATCATTGAACACTAAACCACCCCCCACCCCCCACCCCCATCTCTCTGATTTGCTACAACCGTATGTCCCACCACGCTCCCTGAGGTCAGCGGACCAGTTGCTTCTCACAGTTCCAGGAACTCGTCTTAAGCACAGAGGTGACAGGGCCTTCTCTGTAGCAGGACCAAGACTCTGGAACGAGTTACCTCTGCTTGTCAGACAGGCCCCCTCCCTCTCGGTTTTCAAGTCCCGTTTAAAAACTCACTACTATTCGGTGGCTTTCAACACCAGATGATCTGTGTTTTGATCCTGTATGCTCCACACTGGTTTGTCGTCATTATCTGCATTGTTTTTATGTCTAATATTCTGATTTACCTCATTTTGTATTTTGCTTTGTGTGTTACCTGTTGTTCTGTCTGTACAGCACTTTGGTTGGCCTTGTAGCTGTTTTAAGTGCTTTATAAATAAAGTGGTATGGTATAGGGAGAAGTTAGCTTTTTTTTTTTCTTTCTCTATGTTCTCCGATGGACAGAAGTGTCTTACTGTACTCCGTCTCTCCCCCAACACCCCCACACACACACACCCCCACTTCCCTTCTTGCTCTCTTTCGTCTTGTGAACGCTTAAAGAGCATCTTTTTTTCCCCCTGTATACCGTCGTAATTCGAAGGGTTTGATCAGTCTCTTAACAAAATTGATCAACTTCTCCCGACAGGAGTCAGGGTAAGGAGGACACTCTTACCTCGACAGAAACAGATTGGATTCATGATGACAACTGGATTTTGCTGTTTGGGTTGGTGAAATTTGGATTGTCTACAAATTCGTGTGGATGTGTCAAAGCTCGGCAGCACTCAGACTGAATTATGTGGAGCTGCATCAGAGAGCTGGAGCAGGCTGTTATGAGGACTGAACTTTCTGGCAGCACACATG